ATTCCTATGGGAAACAGAGCTTTGACTTACAACCATTTTATGACCAGAGTTCTGGAACCAATTAAGTTTGTAAGTTGAGGCACCACTGTATTACTGTAGAAGAAATGGTCACTATACTAGTGAGGCAAAATGTAGCATAAGAATGTAGCATTAGGGACTATAATAATGCAAAGCCTCACAAAATCGATCTGGCCAGGCCAATCAGATGTCATGGAAAGCCTATTAACATAACTTTAATTAGTTCATCACTTATCTCTCTTTTTAGGGATGTGTTAACTGGGATGTGTGGATAATAAATGGGTGATGGAATGCAGAAGTAGGAAATGAAGCAGAACTAAACTGGCTAAAGAATATGGCCAAGGAGCCAGAAATGAAGCGGAAGAGTGACTCAAATGAATTCCGCTATGCCAGCAGTTTGTTTATTGCAAAAATGTGCTTCAGCCAACATAACAGATGGGTTATACATGTGGATGACACCAGATGGCTCATACAGAAATCAAATACACTGGGCAAAATTCTTTGCACCGGGTACAAAGGAGTAAGTGCCAGAAATGTTCAATTTATACTAATAAAAAGCTTCCTACCACCCTTTTTAGATTCTGATGTTCCCCTTTGCCTTGCGGAAACCTTGACAGCCTTGTAGTGGAGGGAGGAGGCTTTAAGAGTGAAACATGTCCTCTGGATTGCCACTGCTGGGATCGGGAGTACCACTGCTGATCTGGTGGCAATGTTTTACTTTTAGAACATCCGCCCATCCCAACTATGATTTTTCTTAGTTCTATGTTTTAATGTGAAAGTTGGATGGTAAAGAAAGTTGATAAGAAAACATCAGTTTGTTTAAAATGTGGTTTTGGAGGAAGACTTTCGACCTTGGACTGTCAAAAAGGTCAAATAAGTGAGTTTAGAACAATTCAAACCTGATTCTTCACTAGAAGCTAAAATGACTAAACTCAGGTTATTGTACTTTGGACACAAAAAGGGGGAAACAGTAGAAAAAGACATAGATGTAGCATGAAATCAATTGACTCAATTTAGGAAACCTTGACCTTTCATTAGTGGGATCTGGGATGGGCTGATAATGATAGGATTTTCTAACGGTCATTAATTAAGTGGGTTGCCACAAGCTGAAAGTGACTTGACAGCATTGTACTGATGTGTTTCTTAAAATACCTCTGAACTCACCTCAGGAAACTTGCTTGACATGAACAACTGCCATGTGACTCTGGGACAGAATTGTTTGAACTATCCACAAAATCTTGGTGTGCAGCCTGTTTTTGTTATGGGCCATCAGGTTACCCCTGACTTGTGATGACCCCGTGAAAGAGCAATCTCCAAAATGTCCTGTCTTCAACCACTCCACTTAGCTCTTGCAAACTCAAGCTTGTGGCTTCCTTTAGGGCAGGGGTCCCTAACCTCTGGTCTATGGCCCGGTTCTGGGCCATGTCCTTGGCAGGACTGGGCCACAGAGACAGATCTCCTGCCCCCTGCATGCACAGATGCTCCCCCGCCCCCCATGCACTCACCCCATGTGACACAACCGCTCATGCACACACGTACGGATGCACCCCCTCCCACATGCATGCTAAACAGGTCCGTGGTGCCAAAAAGGTTGGAGACCACTGCTTTAGGGAGTCGATTCATCCCATATTTGGTCTTCCTTTTTTTTTTTGCATGGAAATAACAGAGTCAGTTCATCCCATATTTGGTCTTCCTATTTTTTGGCATGGAAATAACGCTATCACTCAAGAGCACCCAGTTAAATTAGCTTGCAGTAGGTTCAGGACAGACAAAAGGAAGTGCTTCTATACATACTATTCATTATCAATTTGATATTCCTCTGCCTCTAGAAATAGCAATGTGTGAACTGCTACCATTTGTTTTGTTTTAAAAGGGCAAAAAGCACTCAGTTCATTACAGAGCTTACAATCCTACATAGGTAAGGCTAGTAATGTGAAAAGGGAAAAAAATCCTGATAGATGCCTTACTTACTTACTTACTTACTTACTTACTTACTTACTTACTTACTTACTTACTTACTTACTTACTTATTTACTTATTTATTTATTTATTCTCTAGGCGGCTTCCAAACAAATAATAATAATTTTCTCAATACAGTACTTCAAATTTGCGCTTTGATAAACTTCAGCTGCTAAAATTCAGTTTTCTTCCTATAGCCTATAGGTCCTAATTCATCATGTGC